TGTAACGAGCGTGAGGCCGAGGGTGAGCCGAGGGAGATGAGAGAGAGGGAGAGAGAGGGAGAGAGGGAGAGCACACACACACACTCACTCACTCGACACGACGGACTCGGACTGAGGGTCGGACGCAGGCACAGTGGCAAGGCACAAAGTAGAAGTCTTGGATTCCGAATGCCGAAACGGCAAGTCACACTGAGTACGAGTACAGCAGCAGAGAACTGGTCGAGACTCCCCCCCGTACCGTACGGGGAGCCGGTCATAAGTACCGGTGACACATACGGTACCAGGGGCATTTCTGCAAAGGCCCCGAGGGCAGAACTGAAGAATGCAGTATTTGAAAGTGGCGCCCGAATTGCAGCATGGTGCCAGTTGTCCAAAATCCTACGGTACCAAAAGGAGGGGTTTGGAAAAAGGGTGCCAGGCCGAAAACGGGATGCAGCCGAAACAGCAAAAGATAGACCAGGGATCGAGCCCTGGCGAAGTCCGTAACACAGTAGTTACAATGCCATCTTAGCCACGGAGTGATTCCAATGCAATCTTAGTCATTACAGTTCTCAACAGGATATCCAGATAGTCTCAGCTTACTTAGAGCAGTGCTCCGACCAATAGCCCTTGTAATTGACCTAGTCGCTACCCTACTTCTGCACTCTACTTATCAAATTCGCAGATCCCAATCCAGCCTCTAATTATGCTACTGTTATGACCATGTACACCTTTAGTCCTAGCATGTTCCAAGTCATAGTGAATCGGTGAAGTCCATGCTTCCATCCACCTTCACAGCTCCAATCCACAGATCCAGTCCAAATTCCACCCATCCAACTCCTATCTATCTGGTTCAAGGTGTCATGATTGGATGTGCGTTCTGACCCGAATTATCTTCCCGGCTGCAAAGGCTGTGATCGGCGGGCACCCTTGAGTTCCCAGGGCCTTACAATCCCCGCCACTCCATAGCAGCCCCAAACGTTTTATGTACACTATTGTGTGATCAAACTCATCATTCTCCGACGCCAAACCCCATCATAACACGGCAGGTCCTATGCTTTCGTTCCCAACCCTAATTCCCAGGTCCGATCCGACCCCTTCCCATATATCTGTTCGGTCCGGTTCAAGCTGTATACCAGATTGTAGTTGATCAGCACAATCAAGCGATTGTATCTATACTTACCATACAGTCAACTCACCCTGTCCACATGCATATCTACATACATCCCTCCCCGATCGGCACAGTCAAGCAATTGAATCTCTACTGTCATACAGTCAACTCAGCATGTCCTCATGCATATCTGCCCACATCCCTCCCCCAACCCGTATATGGAGGGGGCGAGGGTATTGCCTAACATTGATCTATGCGTTCTTACAGTTATTCACAGTCAGCATCATCTATTGACACCCTCCAATAGGCAGTCAAGGAATTGTAGCTATACTACCATACAGTCAACTCAACATGTCCACATGCATATCTGCATACATCCCTCCCCGATCAGCACAGTCAAGCAATTGTGTCTATACTATCATACAGTTGACCCAGCATGTCCACATGCATATCTACATACATCCCTCCCCCATCGCGTATATGGAGGGGGAAAGGGTATGGCCTAACACTGATCTATGCATTCTTACAGTTGTTAACAGTCAGCATCATCTATTGAGACCCTCCAAAGGCGGCATAGTACACGGTGTATGTGTACATCTAATCCAGTCTAATATTCCTATCCCAGACTACCATTCCGACGATCGTTCTGTCCAGGGAGACAGGGGCTATGGGCCAGGAGCATCTCCAGATCTCGCCTTCCGTCCAAGAGGGCGTGGTCCTCGTAGCCACAAATGTGGGTCTGCAGTAAAGGATGGGTGCGTGAACCGTTTGTTCTCAGGAAGATGCTTGTTGAGCAGAGCCAAGAAGGAGGCCGATTAGCCAGGATGTACCGGCTGTTCCAGGACATCTCCAACCTCACTAATGAGGGGGAGGAGATCGCACCATGTGAAAGTGGGGTCCTGCGGAGGAAAGGGAGCTCTCGTGGCTGGCTCTGCCCGAAGCATAAAGCAATACGCCCCTATTGTCTGCGTGGCCGATCCTTTCAGCAACAACCTAATGGCCGAAATCCCCTTGATGGGGGAGATCTTGTATGCAGGCCCTGCCCACCGTTCCGATACTGCGAGTGCTCGCTGCATGGAGGGGTGCTCACTTACCTTGGCGAATGGGATGGCCGGGTCCTGCGAAGTCTCAGGTCGGTGGTACAGCATGGCTTGTACCTTGCCGTCAAACAGGCGGCATACGATAGGGACTATGCGAATCCGGCCCTGCGACCGGAGTTCATCAAACTTCCCATCAAGGAGGAGTATACGTGCCAATTGCACGTGGTCATTCACGTGCCCCACATCGTCCGGGGCGCCTCGGGCGCCTCTCAACGACTGCCCTAAACTTCTGCTGCCGACGTCCTCGTCTATCCTTCTGGCTGCTGAACCTGCCCCTGGAAGTTGTCCCATAGCAGAGTACTCTAGCTGCAGCCCTTCGTTTCAACCTCTGGCCATGGGGTCGCATAAGTGGCCCGGCCTCGGCCGTGCTGGCAAGTCCCCGCTTAGTCTTCGATCTTCCTTTTGGCTTGGGCCCCTGAGCTGGCGTCCGCTTTTCACGTGCCGAGGCCTCCGCGCTGCCGCATCGCTGCTGACTATGGTCGCAAGGAGGCGGCTCCATTCCAGTCCGCTCCATGCCCAGTTCTTGAGGTCCCATAGCGCCTTGGTCCTCTCTCCGTTGTCCCGGCTGTTGGTGCTGATTGGGAAGCCACAGTCCGCTGCGCCCTCTTCCACTGGTGCCCCTGGGGTTGTCTCCCGCTCTCGGGCCCCACTCTTCTCTTGGTGGCCAGGCTGCTCATAGGGCTGCGGGTTCGTTCCACGTTCATCCCCGCCCATCTGGTCTTTGGATCGCACTACCGCCTCTCACTGTCGCTCATCTATGTTCTCGCAGCATTCCATTGGCGCCGATTGCTCCCCCCCCCCTCGCTGATCTCCCTCCTCCCGTACTGCTGTCTGGTCGGGTTGCGTGTCTCCCGACAGCACAATAACTTCTCTAGCTGTTGTGTGTGCTTGATGCTTCGGGGGAAGAGGCCCTGCCTTGAGGGGCTACAGTGTTCAGTTCTTGCTGGTGTTGCGATGGCACTGGCTGGGACGGTGGCTGCTGCTGCGGTTGGTGCCTTTGCCGTGACGGTGATGCTTGAGGCGACAACTGCTGTTGTCGTCGGTGCTCTTGCTGCTCTTGGGGGGCTTGTGGCTTAAGTGGTACTTGTGGTGGCAGATGCTGTCGTTGCTGGTGCTCTCGCAGTATGTGCTTGACCTGTTGTGCACGATCCCCGACTTGCGGCTGCCTCTCAGATTTCTGATGGTCGTCCTGCTGTTGACTAGAGGTTGCGCGGGGGGGCTTCTGGCGCTCCTGTCCTCCTCGATGGCGCTCCCTAGCCACTTTGTTGGAGCCCTGATCTGGTACGGCTGGTTGCCGTGAGTGATCTCCTTCCGCCCCATCAGCACCTGGAGTCTGGCGTGGAGGAGCCGATTGAAGCAGTCGCCGATCCCCTACCTCCATCATGTCGCCGAGGCTGGACTTGGTAGCAATCTCGGTGAATATCACCGTATCGAACTCTTTTTCGAAATCCACCCAGCACGCATCTCCGTGAAGTCATCTCGAGGGAGGCCAGGGTCAGTTCTCAGCAGCTGTTCCCTACGGACTAATTCCTCCTTGGTCTCCGCCATGTTCAGGCAGCGACCCCTTCGTGCAAGGTGGCCATGCCTTCGGCAATTGTCGCACCACGGGGTCTCACTTGTGACCCCTCTCACCTCCGGTCGGCCGTAGTACGCTTGCGCCACAGCCAAGCGCTCCAACCCCTGCGAGCGGAGTGGGGGGTAGAGGTCAAATCTGATCGCCTCTCTGCCATCGCCGTCAATCGCCCACGTGCCCTCAGGATTCCTGACCTCCCCAAAGAACGATTCCGCCTGCTGCCGGAGCATTAGCACCGCCATGGGAGGAGGTTGCACAAATCGCACCCATGGCCGCGCCTTCCGCTCTTGCAATCTCTCCCACTCCACCTCCACTGGCGACTTCCATGATGTGAACCTAACAAGGTATGTGCGGTCGCCCAGTCTGATACCCTCACTCCCCCGCTCGTGAAGCAGCCAGTCTCGTAGTGCAGCCGTGGGGGCCCAATAGAAGACCAGCACCCCTCCCTCCACCGTCGCCCGGCCTTTGTACGAGGCCTGGCCTTTCTCGGGCCAGTTCTCGAACTCCCAGCACCGTATCCAATGCTTGGCTTGCGGTGCCAGGTCTTTCAGAGGGCCCTCGAAGCGCATGATGATGATATGAGCACGCATGTATGTAATTTGTGCAATCGCCATCTTCTCCTCCACCTGAAGGATGAGCTCGCCATCCGCAGTCTTGGCATCCGCTGTCGGGTCCGTAACGAAGGAGCGCGTTAGGGCCGCTCTCCTAACCGCCTTCATAATTTGCCAGTCCGTGCGATGTCCTTGTGATGGGCCAGCCTGGAGGTGGTTCGCCTGAAGTCCCTCCCCACCCTGAGTCGGCGCCTCCATCATGCCCCAACTCGCCCTGTTCCGCTAACTCTGGAGTCTTCCCCGTCCGTTGTGTCACTATCACTTGAGTAGAGGCCCCACCGTTGCCCCCGCGGGTTGTGAGGTTCTAGGGATTGGCCCGATTGCTCCTGTCCCAGCCGCTCTGCCTGCTCCACGCCGTGAGTCTCCTCCGCCAAATGCAATGGGGGCTGTTGTCCTTCTCGATGTGTCTCGTCCTGCTATGGCCTGAGTTGTTGTCCTTGAGCTTGCGTTGATTCTGAAGCACGATGTAGCGGTGGTTGGACTGACTGTCGCGGGGGCCGGATTGCCGGCGCCGAGGGTCTATAGGCGATCCACCCTACTCGATGGCGCCGAAACGCCGCTCGGAGCTCCTGGTGGGCGATCCTATTGATGGAGAGGTTACGTCTTACTGCCGTCACCACTTCGTCGGTCGTGCTTCCCTCCCCACTGCGGTTGCCGCCACTCTGGCGTCGCGCGTGCGCCGGCGTCCTCCCTTGCGGGCCAAAGGCTAGTAGCCAGTTCTTGTCACTCCGAATGTGGTTCTCGATCCTCCGGATCTCCGCTTGCACGCGCCTGCGCTCCCGGTGAGACAACCACCGAGCAATGGCCACCGTGGCTATGCTATAGAGACCTCCTCGCCGGCCGATCTCCAATGGAACAATAAGAGCCGCTAGGCGGTCTATCCAGGCAACAGTGCTAAACGCAGTCCAGCAGGTCACCAACTTCTCTCCACCAAAAAGGAGGTGCCGGCAGATGATGTAGGCCAATGCCCATGTACACCCTCGGATCGCAGCGGATCCCACTTCCACAATCGTCGCCCTCCACACCAGGGACACTGCACCCCAGAGGGTCGCCCCTATCTGCTGTAGTCCATCCGCTTGCTTAGCTAGGGTCCATCCCAGCAACAACAACCCAATCCCCCATAAACGCTCCCAATCCTCCATTCACCTGGCCTGGCCCGGCCACTCTCCCCCCGTGTGGGTGCCACCTCCTACCACTCCCCCCTTCACCCTACTCCACTCTTCACCCTCGCATCCGCCGCATGTACTCTCGTCTTCGTACCATCGTCACAATTTCCCATCGGTCCACTCGTTCGTACCCCAGCGGTATAGCCTGAGGATCCTCGTCCTGCTGCACGTTGCTCTCTTGAGGCCTTGGTCGAGCCCACCTATGTCGGAGTCGGAGCAGTCCACCGCACACGCGCAGTATCACTGTTGCACAAATCGCCACTGCGGTAAGTATGCCTAAGCGCTGAACCAGTCGGGTGGTTAGAAGCCGCACACACGGTCTACAAGCCTCCGCTGAGAGCACTATGTACAGAAGTACTCCTCCTACCTCACTAAGTGCACACACCACTGCTAGTCGCCAAGAGATGGGCATCGCCTCCAGGGGGCTCATGCATGGCGGCCGGCGTTGCCTCGGATGCTCCTGTCGCTGTCTTTACGCCGTGCTGGACTCTTCGAGGTGGCCTGAAGCAGTCGGTCGCAGTCGTCTCGCGCCTGGGCAGAGATCGTTGTCCTCCACTCCCCTATCTCTGCTGATCCACATCTTTCTATTTCACCCTCTCTTCATCCTCTGATCAATTCCCCCACCCTCGACCACTCCAGATCGCCCCTCCGCTGTCGTCTATACATTGCTTTCTCAACACTGTTTCCTCGCCTCCCGCCAACGTTGACCAACTATCCCGCCCTATACACTACTTTCGCAGCCCTGCTGTCTAGTCTTCGCCTGTGCGTTACGTTCGCACTCAAAAGCGCGCAACCGCTATCAGCTTCCCTCGTTGAGCCGTGCCTCGTCACACCACTACCTTCTTCATTATTGGTCAACTCCTTTGTGCTTGGCCATTCCGCCTCGCCTTTCTATCGTTCCCTCACGCCTCACTAGTGTCGTCGCTACCCCCCTCCCTTGGTGCCCTCCGTCCCTATCCACACCCGCTCCGTCGTGGTCTATCCCAACGTCTGTGCTCCCGCGCTCTGTGTCCCCTCCCGATTCCTCTTATCCCTTGCTCGCGGCGACATACACGTCCTATCCTATCCTTCTCTCAAATACCCCCGCCGTCGCGGGCTCTACATGGGTGTCACCGTACATCTCCCTTAGACCACTCGCCCCTTGGACAACGTCCTCATCGGCAGGAGCCCGTTATTCTTGTTGTGCTCCCGCCATATCTCTATCCTGCCATTCTATCTATAATCCCTTACTAATCGCTATCACTCCACTCTCACGCGCTCTCCCCGCTCTCACGCTCTCGCTCTCACACGCTCTCACCGCTCTCCGCTCTCACAGTTTTTTTTTTTTTTTAAAGGGTTGTAGAGGTGTCGAGGTTTATGACCCAGGGAGGATGTTCGTCGGAGGGTTTTCGACGCCGGGGTCAGCCCTACTGTATTCGTACTGGAAATCAAAATCAAATGAGTTTTTCCCCTTTTGCTCCACACGAGATTTTTGTTCTTGTTGAGCTCATCTTAGGACACCTGCGCTATCTTCTAACAGATGTGCCGCCCAAGCCAAACTCCCCACCTGACAATGTCTTTCGCTTGGATCGGACAGGCCACGAGGGCCTGCACCTTGGATCGAGAAGCAGGGCAGAGCCCCGGCTCCACCTCACGAAATAAGTAAAATAACGTTAAAAGTAGTGGTATTTCACTTGCGCCGTAAGGCTCCCACTTATTCTACACCTCTCAAGTCATTTCACAGAGTCGAACTAGAGTCAAGCTCA